TTTTTTTCCCACTGCATAATGACTTTCATAATTAACCCCACTCCCTAAAAAAGCAATTTTTCAAACATTCTGTATCATACTTTCTGTATGATACAGAGAGACTGTATTTCAAACACATTCTTAATAATTCAGAAATACTTTCTCGGTTTTATCAACTTTCTTAGTCAAAGGTTTAATTGCATTCTGACCTTTTTAAATTCAGTAATGTATATTTAAAAATGGAAGTCCTTTTCAGACCTGGACTATGAGCTTTTATTATTTGTAGCTTGGTATGAGATTATGCCAAATAATATATTACTACATTTTGAAATAAAATTGTGATATACATAGGCTAAAAGAGAACTGCAGGATCCCACATAAGTAGTCAAAGGGCTTATATATATCTTAACACATTCTTTTTCTTAAAAGATCACTTTCTACTATTATCTAACTCTAAATTAACAACGATTTATGTCCCAAACTTTTATGTTTGATACACATGAGAAACACATTTTCAAACCATACTATTATTATTCATTCTCTGTTAGTGGACAAAACCAAATGCTTCCAATTTGGAAAGACCCTTGAACATTTGTTGAATAATTCAACCAAAGAAGTTGTTTATTTCTAGATATCAAAAGCTATTGCTTTATCAAAAAATATGAGTATTACATATTTGCAGCAATTTTAAGGCACTAATATCTGTACGGTTTATTTAATGACCACTGAGGGAGCATGAAAACAAAGGATTAAATTAGATATTAAAATATTGCATTGAGTGTATGCCATTTAGCAAAGAATTCACTGACTGCTAGTAGATCCCATGAATGGGGATGAAAAGTCTTGAATTCATTTTGCATGGATTCTTTCACTTTAATTGCAATCAAAACCAGAAATTTGTGTAGTGAGTTACAAAGATGGTAGGTTTCTTTTCACAGACATAATTAACAAGTAATTCTCTACATTCACCTTTTGAAAATGACAAAAGGACAACTTTTCTCCAGTTTTGAAAACAAAGATTAGGAACACCAAGACAGTCATGTCTTTTTCTTTTAGAAATAAATGTTTTATTTCTAAAACATATATTTCTAATTTTAGAAATAACAGCCTCTAACACCAGATAATTTTAGTTTGATATTATCAGAGCTTCTTAAATTCTTTTTTTTTTCCTCTGGATGGTATTCTTTAAAACCAGGTTCAATTTCCTGTTCTTGTATATAACGATTTGTATGTTGTAAACATATTTTATCTGTTCATCTGTTTTCTTCCATTAGGTCGAAACAGGTTTATTTGAACTTGCAATAATAGTAAAACTTACGAACCAGAATGCCAATATTACAGGGGTGTTCAAAGATATGCCTTTCTAAACTTAAAGACTTAGTCTGAGAATTCATGTAGAAGAAACATCTTGCTATAATGATCTTGTAGTGAGATCTAATTTGCTTTGGTCCCTTTTTTAAGAAAAGGCACCAAGGTAGACACCATGGTTTATCCGCACAGTTTAATCTTGTCTATACTTAGGATTAATTTGGAGTAAGAATGCCTCTTTCTAAATTTAGTGCATTTTGGAAATAATTAAGCTAAACAACAACAACAAAAAAGTACTATTATTTCATAATTAAAGATTCAACACTTGCAGTTATTCAGAAATAGTTTTGAATAGTTCCTGAACTTTAAATTTGTATCTTATCTAGGTCTACAACCATAGTTACATATAGCCAGCCCTTACAAGAAAGTAACCATGAACTTAAAATTAGGGATATGCAGAACTGTTACAAAATCAAGGGTCATTTGTGCATATTTTTTTTGGTACATATTAACACAATTAGTGGATATTAAAACATTTCAGATTCTTCTGTTCCAGCTGAAAATGACTGTATTCTGTCCACAGAATTACAATATAGTGAACAAGACTTCAAAGTGTTTTAAAAAAAAATTAATGTCTGACAATTACAGTTATTTTTTTTGTTTCAGTAATTATAAAAAACAAACAAAGAAAAAAACAAAAACCAACTGTGTATTTTGCAGGACAGAACAAAATCCTGTAGTATTTTCCTTTGTCAGAACACATCATGTTTCTGAGACCCTCCTGCATTTTCTCTCATGCACCATTTGGTAGACAAACTAACAAGAGTGAAATGAACCATGGTATACATTACATCTAAACAGAGCAAAAAAACCCTTTCACAATAAAACATTGATATCGTGCAATTATAACAGGATTAAAATACCACTGTTACCATTTATTTCTTCTTTATATCCTTCCACTAGAACCACGATTCATGCAAATAGATATAGTTCAGCCAAGATTTTATAGAACATGTTCATGCCTAGACACATTTCATTATTAAAATATTTTTTTCATTTTCATGAATTTAAGCAGTATTGAGTGAAATCTATCTCTAAAAAAATACTTATTTAATCAGATTTACAAATAAATATGATGAACCGATGAAAATTAGCCATTAGATGTTTGTTGGATATTTTGACTATTCGCATGTCCTTAAAACAAGTGAAAAATACAGACCTTGCTTTATCTGCACCTTTAAATATTAGCTAATGATGAACAACATTCTCACCCTTTTGCAGTGGTGGGCAGCCTCTAAGACTTTAGAAGCTATCTAATGTAAAGTTTGAACTAGAAAACTTCTATTTGCCTGCTTCATCTACTTAAACTGCACAATAATCAATGATGTTGCATGCCAAATTAAACAACAGCCTCAAGTAATTCTACTACCTCAGTATTGTTTTCTTGAGTGCCTGCCACAGAACTCAGTCTGGATTGATTTGTGACTAAATCAAGTGGCAGGGAATAAGGGAAATAAGGTTGGACCCTGCCCTGTGCTAATGTTAGGAACGGAATAGTCCACTACCATGCTGCCTTCCTGCATGCATGCTGAAGTAGCGATAATTTGTTTCAAAAGAAAGGATTAACAGCAATAGCAAAAGCAACTGTTGTGTGACAGCTCAGTCCTACATTGCACTAGCTACATGCCAACGTTTTACTGTGGTAGGTGGACACTAGGGAGACATTAGGTCCCTAAGATTGCAAACTGTGTTAAGAAAAAATACATGCTGGATCTTTGACTAGAGACTCTGCTGTTGTGACTGTCTTAAGGCAGTATGTTTTCAACAATTCAAACTGTTAGATACAGAGAGCAAACACTCTAGACATTCAGCTGTAGCTGGAAGGCTTGTATACAGCAATTTAGCAAGATGTTATATAATCATAGAATATCTCAAGTTGGAAGGGATCCATAAGGGTCATCAAGTCCAGCTCCCTGCTCCTTGCAGGACTATCTAAAACTAAATCATACGACTAAGAGCATTGTCCAGATGTTCCTTGAACTCTGACAGGCTTGGTGCTGTGAGTACTTCCCCGGGGAGCCTGTTCCAGTGACTGACCACCCTCTCAGTGAAGCACCTTTTCCTAATGTCCCATCTGAACTTCCCCTGACACAGCTTCATTCCATCTCCTCATGTCCTAAGTCAACTAAGCAGTCACTGGCATCATCTAGTGGAATGCTAGTCCTTACGATGGAGGCGTATGCATCAAATAGCAATTAAAATGAGGTAAATTGTCTGTACCTCTCAGTCCAATTTTGAGAAACTAGAAGTTATAATGCCTCAAGATAAAAACTAAATTGTGCAGATTTTTGCACTTGCTTGCAAATGGCCTTTGAGTCTTACCTGGTGATGAAAGATTACAGTGCAGACTTACATTGTAAGCCTGTGAGTTTTAGTCCAGAAAGGGCATTTCTAGGGTCGCCTAAAGACCACTTGCACTGGAATCTCATTCTGATCATGGGTAAAGTCTTGTTGGATAGAGATTCCCTTTGCTGCAAGAACTATTCATTGTTCCTTGTGCTGATTCAACACTGTTATGGGCAACAAAATAGTAGCACAAATCTCTCTTCTATACTTCAATAAGCAAAAAAGCTACCTTAAAATCTAGTAACTAAATTACATAGTACCACTTACCACACTACAGATCTAATCCTGTTGGCTTCAGTGGGAGTAGAATCAGCTATAAGATTGCAAAATCCTCCTTTTGCTGTTGAATTAACATAGCTATACATTTAAAATTGGTATGTTCTTGACATGAACAATTTAAAACATTCTGCAAATCTGACATATTTTGCTCATGCATATCATGTTCATTTTCTGTAACTATCACTGCTTCCAGCAAAATCTTATTCTAGTCCAATAAATAACACAAAACAATAAAGTAATTAATGATAACCAAAATAATTAAATAGTAGGAGCAGGTTAAAGATCAGCATTCATTTTTCAAATTAAATTGAACGTCTGCGGTAGTTACTTGGAAGATTGGCAAGTTTTACAAATAACATCACCAAGCCTTTTAGAGAGAAACACAGACGCATTAGAATGGAGTCATTAGGCAATACATTTATTTTGAAGCCAATTAACCTTTTGTCAGAGAAATGTCGGAGCTGTAATGGTTTCAGCAGTGGAGGTCAGCCTCTAACAGGGGCACGTATGACAGCGATTACGCTGTCTGACATATGCTGTAGACTGAGAGTACAGCTGTGGAATGAGAATCTGCCTTCGTTTGTATTCTGCTCTGCATTTTCAGGGAGCAGGCAATCTTGACCTATCCATTTAGGTAATTAAAGCTTCTGTTTGGAAGTGTCCTGCAGGAAGGTGAAATCTGGGGGAGATAAATGGCTGCAGCTCACTGTATCCAGCCACTTCCATCATTTGATGGACTGCCTGAAACAGGCTGCATCGCCAGGTCCTCATAAAAATAGAGATGAATTGGGCAGGAGACGATTCTCTAAGGCAAAGCAACTCTGTCATCTTCCTTTTTGGAGCATATAATTTAACTGTTAGCCAAGGTAGACAGCTGATTCAGGGGCCTTTCTCTAACGGCTTCCCCACCATCTTCCATTTGCTAAGAAATTATTTCAGTTTGTTTACTTATAAGCCAACTTTGTTTGACAATGAGAGATGTCACTTCAATAAGCTCAGCTCGTGGTTAGAGCTGTGCCATGACTTACCTTCCAGGCAATTTTGTTTCCTTTAGTATCATGCTCAAGGGCAATTGGGAAGTCTCCTCGCTCATAAAACTTGCGAAATGCTGTGGGCTTTGTTGGTCTTTCTTTAAATGCTCCTGCAAGTGGGGGCCCTCTTACCTTTAAAAAACAAAACCAAACAAAACAAAAAAAACCATAGTTCAGTGGTAATATATTTTTAGAAAAAGCCTAATTTATATGGCTCAAAATAGAAACAGATAAGAAAGATTAACAACATTGATCTCCCAAATTATAGTTTGCTTTCTTCTTCACTTCTTTGAAAGTACACTCTGGGAATGATCTACAGGTTTTGTTAACTGCTTTTTTTTGTTACTACTTTCAGATTGTCCCATAAAAACTGTTTGTATTTTGAAGTAGCTATCTCCATTACCACAGCATTTGTAAGCAAGTATAAAACACCAAGAACATATTCATGTTACGTACTAGAAGTTCTTGGAAAATTAAGCAATTCTCCTTGAGAAATATTTTTCTATTTATTTCTTTATAGAAGTCATTTGACTTGGTTTCGATCTAATATGACTGTCCTCACTTTCCATTGTCTTTCTCTGGCCATTACCTAATCTCCTTCACCATATCCCTTCCTCAAATGCTATGGATCTGGCTTTCATATGACTTCCAGCCCTTCAGTATTGATGGCTGAAGCACTGGAAGAAATGAAGGAAAGTCTTCTCTCAGACCTCTCCTCTCTGCCTGTGTTGCCTTGGAGGGAGAAAATTGATTCAGCTCCACTGAGTTCCTTATCTGAGTTATTGCTGGTCAGCATATTGTGTAGCCTGAATGACAGTCCAATTCCAAAATGCTCACACTGGAACTTTTTTCTCAGTCAAACATAGTAGCAACAGCAACTAATAATTGGCACTAAGATAACAGAATTTCAAGTACTTATAAGAAATCTATTGTTAAAGCTAATTAACAAAGCTAATCTCAAATGCTAAAAGAGACTAAGAGAGCTAAACTAATCTCGAATGTCCTTGACAACTGATTCTTCCCTGAGAAACTCTCGCCTTTTTTTGTTTTTATAGCCATACATCTGGGATAAGAACTTCCTACAATTCTCTGTGTATCTCTTTTTTCAAAAATGCCTTTATGACTTGCTACCTTTTATAACATAGAAAGTGTCATTTTGAAAAAAAGGTGAGAGCTTCAAGGATCATAAATCATACCCAGTATTTTGTATTGTTCTATTTGTCTCTATGTCTTCAGTGACCCTTACATTAGTTTCTAGCAGTACAGACATTCAGCTTTCCAGTGAACAGAATGCAAACATGTAACAACCTTTGCTTCATTTGTACTATTCTGTAATTTACCTATGCTAACTACAGATCTAAATCTGACTTGGCACTTTTTTCCTCCAAAGTATTTTGACATCAGTTTCCACTGACTGAGGTAGAGGGATCCACTAGTGATATGCCTACACTGTACTTCACTACGAATTACTTAAACTAGGACTACTAAACTCGGACCTACTGTTGCATATTGCTGTTACAGACAGACCATGTCTAGTGAAAACAGATTTGAGATGCATAGCTGTAACTTTGTTTAGTAAACACATCTGCAGTAGTTGAGAGTAATACTCCAAGAAAAACATTTCTAACCAGTGTAAATAAATCTACAGTTATTATTCTGCAGAGGAACAATTTGTTCTGTGCCGCTAGTATAAGTACTTTCACTTGCCTCTAATTTTTTTTGCATTTCAGGCAAGTTTATGAGTCACTTCTCATTTGAGACCACTAGAAAAGCATCTATATTTTTCACACACAGGACCTTCACACGTCCTTTAAAACGTTATTTTCTGTAAAATATTAGGAGTCACTGTTCTATTAAATTTTAACTTCAATGATAAAGAATATGTTGTCTTGATTACATGAGATAAAATCTTAATTATTTCTTGCAGACTATCATCATACGATCCCAAACTGCATCTTATCTGAAACTAAACACTTTCTTCTTCCCAACTCAAGTTAGTAAATCTGCTATGAACCTTTTTCTAGTGCACTTTTACAAATTCTCTAGAAAATATGCTTGAGTTAATTCAACTTCTTCCTATTCTTTAGGAAACAAAGAAACTAGAAGGACTGAAAGGATCTTGGTTATCAAATCCATTCCTCTATTATTCCTCTAATATTCCTCTATTATATATACAGAATCTTTAAAAAGTTGATTACAAATCTGTTTATTTGTCCCTTGCCTGTTGAAAGGCTGTGGTTAGAAACCACATCTTAAATAGTATGCCTACTCTGATCTGCCACCTCAAAAAAAGATACGGTAGAATTAGAAAAGGTTAGGAGGAGGATAAGGACTGAGGGTACGGAATGGCTTTCACAAGAAAAGAATAAACCGGGAAAATGATGACTAGGGAGGAATAAAATAAAGATTTATAAAATCATGACTTCATGGAGAGGATGAATAAGGACAGATTGTCCACCATCTCCTTCAGTAAAAGTATAGGGCATCAAAAAAATCTAGTGACAAGTTTGGAACAAACAAAAGTAGTTATGTATTCATGCAGCAAGTAGTGGATTTACAGAACTCCTTGCCGAAAGTCAGTGTCGGGAATCCTAGAAGTTTCTGTACATTCAAGCTGTGACTGGAAAAGTTGATGAGAGAAATCCATTCAGGTTGACTAAATCCACATTATCAGTGATCAGAAATACAATGAGTATTACCCTTTTTCATGCAATACAGTCTGTCTGGTACATCTCCTAGCATTACATTTAGTCTCTCATGGACACATCACACTGGCATCTCATAGTTATCCTTTGATTAACTGCCACAGCAACTATCTTTTCCAGTTGATGAGCTCTATGTTAATAACAAACTTTCCTGTCATTAGTTTTAAGTGCATTATCTTGTACTTTGTACTATTATATTTAATTCCATTTCTATTACACCAGTTCTCAAGGGCTTCCACCTCCATCCGTGATCTTCATCTGTTTTAATAACAACTCCAAACATTATGTCAACTATAGATTTCATTATACAATCCTAATTCTTATTGTCAAGGTCACTAATGAAAATATTAATAAGGTTAGCCCTAAAACCACTTCCTAAGAAGGTCCATGAATAACTTTCATCTACTATCGTGTATCTCATTTCAACATTACGTCATTATTGTCTCCATTTCAATATGGAGTTTCTTACCTGTCTTAACGCATCTCATATTTCTTATACTGTATAACTAGCAAACTAGTGTGTCTAGCTAGAGAAGTAGCTTGAAAACAGTCTAGAGAAAGGGCTGTTGTTTTTCCCTTTGTCTTAAAGCTGTTTTTCTTGTCAGTTTGGTCTGTGATAGGCATAGAGACCTTTTAAATACCAGGAAGAGCAACTGACTCCAAAGCAATGAAACTACCTAGACAGGAATGAGCCTAGGATCTGCCTAGAACACAGAAATATCACCAATCGGGAAAAGAGTGGAACTGTCCCTGCATTGAAGTAATGGTACTTTGCATGACTGAAGAGTACTGTTGCTCTGCTTTAAGTTTATTACATGGAGGCAACTTGTTCCTTTTGTTTGCATTTGATAAAAATAGATTACGAGACATTCACTAGAGTGGCTGCATTGAGCTAATACTGTTTACCTTTTACAAATAGTTTCCTTTCCCTCCTATCTTTATTACTAGGGAGACCATCACTATCATATTTGGTATTCTGAACACTGTTCTCTTATGCAGACCTCTCTTTGGGTCATTCTAGCCATGCATATTCAACAGTCTGCCTGAGGAAAAGTATATGTGTATAATTTACATTTTCACTTTTTATAATTCCTTATCTATTTTATGTATTTATTTTCCTATACTTAGATTTTAAGTAGTGCTTTTTGAGACCAGACTTCTTTTTTTTTCTATTTGCAGACTTT